ATATTAGCTACTCAAGTCTGAACAGCTCGAGCTCGACGAAAAATTCTGACGCCTAGAAGAAAAAAAAAAGGTCAACGACTCACTGCGCGTTTAGAGTTAACACTCCATTACAAATGTCTTAATGTAAAATGTTCATAATCCATGATAATGTGAAAAATGTATCTGTAATCTCTATGTACTGTACAGTACAATTCAGTCTCTACGGGGTGACACCACAATGAGATCTCGTCCTATCTCAAAATCTCCCTATGGCAGCCTCTGGTCCGGCCCGTGAAAAAAGTTTTCTTTCCAATTCGGCCCGGAGGCAAAAGCTGTTGGCCACCCCTACACTGACTGTTACCCGCGACTTTGCTCGCGGTGGTTTCGCAAGCAAACCCTATTTATATTCAGTATTTCAACAACCATAGTAATTGTTATATAACAGCTACCGCTGAGAATCGAACGAACTATTTTCAATTTGAACAATTATCTGGAACGTTTACAATCGTGTTTTAATCGAACCGATACGCAATAACAAATTCGAATTTAAAACGGTTCGAACATTTGGTTAAAAAATCGAAATATATAAAAATATTTATAACAATGTCGGAAATGTTACCAATTTAATACACCTAAACACTTAATGAAGACTAAACGTAGTAGAAAACAAAAAATCGCGTCTAAAATAGTACAGTAGAAGCCGTTTTTTCGGTTAAGATTTAATGCTCTTCCACTCCTCCCCTTGCTAGGGAGTTTCGAAAAATCCCTTCTTAGTATGCGTTTTCATAACGTACCCTAACTGCGTACCAAATTTCACCTCTTTAGGTTCAGCGGTTTGCTCTGGCGATGATGAATCAGTGACTCAGTCAGTCAGTCCAAACAGTTAATTTTATGTATTTAGATGAAAAATGCGCGAAAAATGAATAAGATGGGTAAAATTAGTCACTTTTCTTTTATTCCAACAAAAGGGTTGTAAACGAGCTGCAGATTACATTCGATATTGTAAAAAAGATAAACACCCGAATGTTTTTATGAAACGTGAATGGAAAAAAATTTATTTCTTCCCTCCTACAGTACTTTAAGAAATTAATGAAGACGTCGAATTTCTAAAAATTAGACTTGATATTAATCTATAAAACAGAGAAAATAAGAGAAACGAACACAAACTCCATTTAAATAACTGCGAATTATTCCTTATTTTATATTATATTTATTTTCAATTTCCTCTTAGTTTCTTGTACAGTATTTATATGATAAAATTTTTTTTGTAAATGTGCAAATTACTTACATATGTTCGAATTTCGTATGAAGCCGTAATCTTATATAATATTTGTTTTACAAATAAATATAAAAAAATTTGTGGACCTTATTCCGAAAAATATTCACACTCGTTCTAAAATCGAACAGTTATAAATTACAACGACTGGATACTTTGTCATTCCCAAACGATCTGCCAGATTTTTATCGGTTAGGTTATAAAAATACTTAATAATTAGAATTAAAGAAAACTGGAAACACGCCAACACTATTAAAATTCTGTTCTCTCTGAAAAAAAGAGACATCAACGGCTTCGCTCGAAGTTTTTTCTCTCGCACCTTCACTCTCGTTTACTTTTTATACATAATTTATCGATTTATTATTAAATTGAATAATAAACACGTAAAAAATCGAAAAACTTCGCGACTGGCTTCTTTCCAGTACGCGATTAGATAGCAGCTACAAGTACCGGAAAGGTCATTTATTGGCACGTATACCGTGATGACCGTGACTATAATGTATTTATTCCTTTTGCCCCTTCTTCGGGCGTTCTTAGTCATAATTTATTTTTAACCTACAGCCGGAATATATTAATTTAACTATTATTTAAATTAATATTGATTTCATCGTTCTTACGGTAGCAGATATTTTTGTCGACGTACAAAAGTAATTTACATTCGTAAGATCGAACTGCGAGTTTATTACGATAAACTACATACCGTATTAATAAGACTGTTTACCTTGAACACAAGTAACTACGCATTTTCGACTAAGGACATGGAAAAATTAACATTTATCCTAGAAAATATAAATTCGTAAGATACACTGAAAATTTATATCGTATATAATAAGTAGGTAACATTTTGTAAACAAAACTTGATCATTTTAAATATATTTTGTAATTTCAAATAAAATTACAGGAATAAAGTCTATAGAATAAGACAGGCTTTTTCTTCAGACTTTCGTAAATAAAAGCTCTGTTATATAGCACTGCCGCGCTACGTGATATTTGCTCGTCGTGTACGATATAACAATTATTTGTTATTCTATCTGTTACTTATTACTGAAAGAAAAAAATTTTAACATATGCAAGTACGATAGCATTTGATGTTTCCAGCATTATAAAAACAATTAGGAACTAGTTTTTTTAATCCTAAACCTGTTTTTGCCTTCTTACGCAATCCCCTGTTTGGGGAAAAGAATGGAGGCGAATCAAACGGACTTTCTTTTTCTGTGGAAAGCGAAAGGCATTTAATTAATATCAAATTATTTTCATTGCGAAGGGAAAACGACTTATAACAGGAGAAAATTGTCAGAGATACTCCAATTGTTGGGTAAGTTTTAGTTTTTAATTAAACGATTAACAAATTCGCTTCTGAAGCTATAAAGCTGTAACACAGATAATTTCAAGCGGGGTATGAGAGGTCAGTTGATAATTATTTGTGTTTGTAGTTCATTTTTCATTTCTTTTTGTTGTAATATTTATGACGTGCGTATTTCTAAATTCTGAGTGTTAATCGTATCCTGTAGCCATTTCAAGATTTTCGGTTTGATATAAATAAAAATACAGCCGAAGGGTTGGGAACTTACTACGAAACGGTGAATACATTTATTTACGGTTATTTTAAAAATATATTAATAACTGAAGTTGCCGATAACGAAACCCCAAGAAAAATGCGATTGTGGAGACAAAAACCTTTCCTGTCTGGTAGTAACAACGAATCTTTAAACGCGACACGTTAGCTTCTCCAAATACAGGCTGTCTTCTAATATAGGCTGTCGATCCAGTTCTACGGATAGGTCCAACGTGCGCAACTTTTCCAAAATCGACCGACAATTTAATTAAATTTAGTAGGAAATTGCTTCTCTTACCCACATATTAATTTTACTTTCTCGGCTGTTATGTATACATAACGAGCGAAAGGACTGTAGTTGTATGAACTTTGACCCCTCCGGCGTTTTACAAAACTCGAATATTCGAGAGTTTCCGAATCCAAAAAAGTCAAGAAAAAATCGGAAAAAATTACCTGGGTATGTTTACGTATGTTTTTATGTCGACGTCTATTTCGTGCAATATGTGTGGATTGGGTTAAGATTAAGAAACGAAATTCTGCACTTATATTTTATATATGGGACATTAATGTTATAAAGTATTGGTAGTTAAGAGTCAAGGAATAAACGGATAGAGGAGGGTCGTGTTTCGGATCTGGAGTGAAGTCAGACTAATGAAATTTTTACTCTTTATTGCCATTTATTGCCTTTTAAAATTACGTTTTTCTGTATTTTTATAATAGTTAATTAATAATATAGAAATTACTTTTTATTTTTAAGCCATTTTATGTTTAATTAATCTTAAATCCTTGTAATTAATGTTGTTAATTCAAAATCTGTCATTAATACATTTGTGACCGGAGGGTCGGCACCTTTTCGATGCCCGGACAGGATAGACACCACCGGATCTATCCGGAAGCCGAGACGGCGATTAGTTCAGTCACGCGAGCGGCCGCGTGCGCGGGTAATAGGATTCGGAAGGCGGTGAGAGACAGCGCACCGGAAGTGACTGAAGCAGAGATTGGGGTAACGAAACAACGTTTATTTAAAACACGAACGTTCGAGTACATGCGATATCGAGTTCTCAATAGGGAGATGTATAGTCTATATCTGAGATACTTTTGCGATCGGAGAGCGAGAGTTTAAAACAAGTTTCGCGTGGTGATAAATACCTGAAGTTTGGTTGATTAGCTAGTACGTTTTAAGTTTCTTGACGACGAAATTAGTCCAGTTAGGCAATCGAGTATTTCGGTTCGGCAACGATGTTAATCCAAATAAGAGAAACTTAATAAGTCCGATGGACGACAAAGTTAATTAATCCAGTGAAAAGCACACCGCGCACGTGAAAGGATACGGAGCTGGAGAGCCCGTCTCTTGTAGGAAGGTGCGACGACTGCACTGTAGTTTGACATTTATAAGTTGATTAATAAACTGACGACGATAGGTCGGGAGGTTATGCTAAAGCATCATTTAGTTGCTGAGAACTGATGAACGATTAACTCCCAGGTGTGAAAGTTGACAGTAATTCGATAAAATGACATGGTTAAAATTTTAGGTCAGGATGCAGTTAAGTAAACAAGGCTGAGTCTCACATAATGGAATTTGTTAATTATTGTAATCGGCGTTTTTATATGGATTTCTAATATAAAATCTTCATTTTAAGTACAGAATTAAATTTTTTGTACAGAAAAATATACAGCTTAAATATTAAGTAATTAGTTTTAATTTCTATTCTAATTTATGAAAATTAAAATGTATATAATTTGTTTATTAATAAATATTTAAATAATAGATTATCGCATTATATAACTTCAATAGCGCATTCTTATACTATAAAAATCTTTGTGAATTAACTTTCTGTTTATACCTACTTGAGTATTACAAGGAATACTTTTGATTTATCTCGATGTTGGCAACTTAACATAGATATTTACGTGTTTGTCCACTAGGAAAATGATTTTATAAATCAGTAAATTATAAAAACATTTCGAATAAACCATTCAAACTATGAAAATTTATATAAATAGTAGCTAAACTTGTGTTTAAGTACTGTACATTTACATTTCAAAGTAGTTTTAATTAAAACTACAGTATAAAAAAATATCTTTAGCAGAAGTTTGGGTTTGTATCAAGCAAATAAATACATTTAAAAATGAGAAAAGTAACGTTTTTATATAGTAAAATAGTTCTGTCTATTTTTTTCCAGATCGAACATGAAAGTCGGAATTGCATTCAATTTTTTAACTAAACAGTTCGAAGCGCACGGAAGAAGAGTGCACAAAAACGTTTCGTGGTTCTTAGTAATTCCAATTTTTCTAACTCTTTTACTCGCCACGGGCTTACAAAACTTGAAAATAGACGTCGGAGACGAAATCATAATTACCGATAACGGAATTGTGGCCAAGTACAAATCGTACTTAAAGCAGTTGTTTTCCACCGACACTTGTTCCGATTTCCAACCCGCAAGATCCATCGACACGCATTTGTACGCCACTGTTATAGTCGAGACGAGAGACAAAGGATCAGTTCTTCGACCGTCCGTCTTCCGAGAAGTCGTTTTATTGGACCGAGCCGTGCGCAACTTTACCATCGCGCACCAAGGCCTTTGGAAGTACCAAGACTTGTGCGCTAAAACTAACGGCAAATGTTGGCGGAACGTCGTTCTCCGTCTCGGAAGCAAAATGGCCGAGATGGAGAACGGGACGTTTATTTTAAAATATCCAATAAATAACGACAGAGATGAACACTACGGCGCACTTTCTTTGGGAGGAGTGGTGGTTAACGACGAGCACGAAATAGTCTTCGCTCGCTCTCTGAGATTAATTTACTTTTTAAATAAATCTAAACACGTAAAAGACTTGAGTATAAAATGGGAGAAAAATTTCATCGAAGATATTAAAACCCTTAAGTTTAGAAACTTAAACGTGGCGAAAGACGTCTCCACTTCGCTGGAAGATTCCAGAATCAATGTCTTAAAGGTTGCCACTAAGTACATGCCGTATTGTATGTTATCGATGATATTATTCACTGTTGTGACGTGTCTCTCGCCCGATTTTCTCAGAAGCAAGCCCTGGATAGGAATAGTGTCGGCGGTTGCTACTGGCATGAGCGTAATTTCGGGAGTAGGTTTACTGATGTATTTTCGGTTTAAGGTTACAGCGACGAGTGTTATGGTTCCGTTTCTAGTGTTAGGTAAGTCGTCGATTTTGATTACTGTATTTACATTTATTTTATAAGTGACAAAACTAAATTAATTAATTTAACATTATTACTTGAATAATATAACTTTTAATTTCCCAGCTGTTATGCATAGGAAAAGTATGGGGTTCCCGAAAAAATTAGGGGTTATTTCTCTATGTAAGCATGTTAGTGTGTGTGGGTAATGTGTACGTATGTATACGTGTGTGAAAACTGGATCTTGCTCACACTATTTGCAGCTTAATAACTCTATTTTATAAATCTTCCTCCAAAATTTCTGAAATTTCGCAGAGTGGTTACTGATGCTATTAAATTTTGATGGTTGAAGGTTGACAAAGTGGGGAAATTATGTAGATCTTGTGTATCTCCGGTAGGATTGGATTAATTAATTTAAATGACGATTTTACTCTTTATTATCATTTACAATTTTCCATTAAACTTATTCCTACCATTAAAATTAAGCTTTTTGACATTGTATAATACTTAAAAATTATAACAAGTTTTTAATGTAAAATATGATAAAAGATGGACCAACAAAACGTTACACTATGCCGGGAAAGTTGAGCGACTCGTTGCTGGTTTATTATAAATTACTTAAAATTTTATAATATAATTTTTAAACAATATTGGACACAGAACAGATTTTTTTCTGTGGATATACGAAGTTCTAAAATTTTGATTTTTATCGGACCAAATAGCATTTTTGTTTCGAGTGTAATTTATATTGTTTAGATTGACAAAATCTATTGCTAACAAGAAGCACAAAAAACATTTTCTGCATTAAACCTTACATCATTAACTACTATTAGTAAATTAAATTTCATTACTTTTCTCCATTTTCAGTAGTTTAGGGTTTTTCGGTTTTTAAAACCCGTTTTTCAAAACCCGGTATTTTGAAGAAATTTGAATAATTTGACAACAGGGTTTTCCCAAGTAAAATACCGGTTTTTGAGTCTACACTTAAAAATTAATTAACTACTTTGTTAAAAATTTCAACATTTTGACACAAAATCGTTTTTTGCATAAAATAGGAATATTGTTAAATACTAAGCTTCATAAAACTAACTACAAAAACAAGAAAATTCATCTACGCCTAAAAAGCGTCCAATTTGGCTCAATTCAAGCTTTGAATCAGACGGTTGGAACTTAATCAGAGCTGTAGAGCATATCCATAGGAGCAAAAAAAGTCAAAGGAAGCATACCTCTACAAGCCATTCTTCGCGAGTTACACAGCCACCCAAAATCGGGTCGTGCGAAATCGATTACATAAATATCGTCAAGAATTTGAAAAAGTGACTTCGTTCAGCCCTAAGACACCGAAGAAGTAGTTTTTAGTATTAGAGGATACGAACAGAAGAACTGCTTAAGGCTGTGTACACATTAGGCGTTTTGCGTTGCGTTAAACCCGCGTTAGCGGCGTACACACCGCGCGTTTAGCTCCGCGTTCGACGACCGTTTAGTGAAGCGTGCGCACTGGCTCAGTTTGGAAATGGACGTGAAAGTAATTGCTTGTGTGCCCCTCCTCCATCGTCGCTATAAAAAACGATGGCAGAGGCAAAAAGAATTTTGGGTGCACCCAATATTACGAGATACACTAACTCGTGGAATGTTTGCGACGTTGTATCCAAAACTAAGACAATCCGAACCCAAGTTTTTTTAATTCTTTTAGAATATCTATAAAATCATTTGACGATGGCTGATCTCTTTTAGATTTCATCAATAAATAGATCAGTATCGAAACGATCGTTCTCCATTTTGGCTAACGTACGTCCACTCTACCCGAAAGCGTGCAATCGTATGTACAATAACTTGGCAGCACGTACTGTATATCACAAAGCGCGCAGCTAACGCCCGCGAAACGCGCGTTCTAACAAAAATCTATCAACGCGCGCTTGGTCAGAAGCGCGCGTTTGAGTATGTATACCTATGCAGAACTCTTGGTTCTTTAAAACGCGCGTTTAAAAACGACTAATGTGTATACAGCCTAACTTGGCATTTTTATTGTCCGCTAAATATACTTTTAGCTCGTCCAAAATTTTATAAGCAGCTAACCGAAGGTCAGCAGCAATAGGGTGACTGTTTTTAATCATGTTTGCAGTACCGATGAACTCAGAATCATAAAACATATAGTGTAATACATTGTGTAATACACCAACCAGAAGGATGAAGTGTTACGCTCGTAAAGTGGGGCACACAAAGGTTATCTAAGAGATGGCCAGTGCAGACAGAAAGAAAGACTGGTCGTGCGAAAAATATAAGCAAAAGTTACCAGGTCTCAGAGTGACCACTGATGACAGCGCTGCCAGGCTGGAATGCCATTTACGTAGATGTCACACAGTAAATCTTAAGTAGATACCCAGGGTGATATACGTGTGCAGTATGGTCGCCGAACTGAATAGAACCAGAGTAAGGAAGCGCAAGATGTATCCAAACCGCAGAAGCTCGAGATCCCTTGCTAACAAACGTCTAGAGTTCTGGTAAATCTTACCTCTAAATTATGCCGCTACGGCGAACAGCGCCAGTCGCGGAAGTGGATATGTCAGTTTCGGGTCGTAGTTACACACGGACCTTGTCTTTCTTCAGTCGCGGTTAAAATGGAATGCACTATATGCCACTTCAAATATAAATATAAACAAAGTTTAAGCAAACACTTGAGAGAAAAGCATAAAAAAGATTATAGCAAGGATAGAGTTTTAAAAATATTTAATTATAGTTTGTGTTTAAGTAAATATCAGAAAAAAGAAATATTGTCATTCTATTGCATTCCATTATTAACTAAGACTGAACAAAGACAAGACCCACGTGTAACTATGACCCGAAACTAACAAATCCATTTCTCGAGAATGGCGCTATTTGCCGTAGCGGCATAATTTAAAACTAGGATTTACCAGGGTTCTAGACCAGCAGTTCTTAATGGGATATTTGAGCCTGATGACTTTTACAAATGTTTTCAATATTTGGTCTTATGTGTGAAATAGCTACTCTCATTCAGCGGCGTACCGTGGATGTCAGCCGCCCGGGGCGGAGAAAAATTTCGGCCCCCCCTTATTTAGGTATTTCAATTTAAAAGACCAAAAATTCAGTTTTGTCACAGAACAAGCAATGAAAAATTCGGCGGTAGTGCAGCGACCTGTCTAAAATGGTTCTATTGGATATTAGTGGTGTATATGAACGCNCAAAAACAAGAAAATTCATCTACGCCTAAAAAGCGTCCAATTTGGCTCAATTCAAGCTTTGAATCAGACGGTTGGAACTTAATCAGAGCTGTAGAGCATATCCATAGGAGCAAAAAAAGTCAAAGGAAGCATACCTCTACAAGCCATTCTTCGCGAGTTACACAGCCACCCAAAATCGGGTCGTGCGAAATCGATTACATAAATATCGTCAAGAATTTGAAAAAGTGACTTCGTTCAGCCCTAAGACACCGAAGAAGTAGTTTTTAGTATTAGAGGATACGAACAGAAGAACTGCTTAAGGCTGTGTACACATTAGGCGTTTTGCGTTGCGTTAAACCGGCGTTAGCGGCGTACACACCGCGCGTTTAGCTCCGCGTTCGACGACCGTTTAGTGAAGCGTGCGCACTGGCTCAGTTTGGAAATGGACGTGAAAGTAATTGCTTGTGTGCCCCTCCTCCATCGTCGCTATAAAAAACGATGGCAGAGGCAAAAAGAATTTTGGGTGCACCCAATATTACGAGATACACTAACTCGTGGAATGTTTGCGACGTTGTATCCAAAACTAAGACAATCCGAACCCAAGTTTTTTTAATTCTTTTAGAATATCTATAAAATCATTTGACGATGGCTGATCTCTTTTAGATTTCATCAATAAATAGATCAGTATCGAAACGATCGTTCTCCATTTTGGCTAACGTACGTCCACTCTACCCGAAAGCGTGCAATCGTATGTACAATAACTTGGCAGCACGTACTGTATATCACAAAGCGCGCAGCTAACGCCCGCGAAACGCGCGTTCTAACAAAAATCTATCAACGCGCGCTTGGTCAGAAGCGCGCGTTTGAGTATGTATACCTATGCAGAACTCTTGGTTCTTTAAAACGCGCGTTTAAAAACGACTAATGTGTATACAGCCTAACTTGGCATTTTTATTGTCCGCTAAATATACTTTTAGCTCGTCCAAAATTTTATAAGCAGCTAACCGAAGGTCAGCAGCAATAGGGTGACTGTTTTTAATCATGTTTGCAGTACCGATGAACTCAGAATCATAAAACATATAGTGTAATACATTGTGTAATACACCAACCAGAAGGATGAAGTGTTACGCTCGTAAAGTGGGGCACACAAAGGTTATCTAAGAGATGGCCAGTGCAGACAGAAAGAAAGACTGGTCGTGCGAAAAATATAAGCAAAAGTTACCAGGTCTCAGAGTGACCACTGATGACAGCGCTGCCAGGCTGGAATGCCATTTACGTAGATGTCACACAGTAAATCTTAAGTAGATACCCAGGGTGATATACGTGTGCAGTATGGTCGCCGAACTGAATAGAACCAGAGTAAGGAAGCGCAAGATGTATCCAAACCGCAGAAGCTCGAGATCCCTTGCTAACAAACGTCTAGAGTTCTGGTAAATCTTACCTCTAAATTATGCCGCTACGGCGAACAGCGCCAGTCGCGGAAGTGGATCTGTCAGTTTCGGGTCGTAGTTACACACGGACCTTGTCTTTCTTCAGTCGCGGTTAAAATGGAATGCACTATATGCCACTTCAAATATAAATATAAACAAAGTTTAAGCAAACACTTGAGAGAAAAGCATAAAAAAGATTATAGCAAGGATAGAGTTTTAAAAATATTTAATTATAGTTTGTGTTTAAGTAAATATCAGAAAAAAGAAATATTGTCATTCTATTGCATTCCATTATTAACTAAGACTGAACAAAGACAAGACCCACGTGTAACTATGACCCGAAACTAACAAATCCATTTCTCGAGAATGGCGCTATTTGCCGTAGCGGCATAATTTAAAACTAGGATTT